CACACACACACACACACACATCAAGCATTTAATTCATACCAATGTGCTGCCTCAGTAAGGTGGCGGCTGCCTTTTCACCTGAGCGCCAGGAGGTGAAAAACATCTGAGAGCAAAAAGAAAAAAACAGACACAAAGTTCACTGTCAAAACAACTTCAAGTGTTTTTCAGGAATTAATGGAATTGAAGGCAGCTGGATGTTCATGCAGACACACAGAGTGGACAAATTCACCCAGACGCCACTCAGCGCAGTAAAGTTAAATGAGGGTCATAATGTTAAATATTGAGATTGTCAGAGGCGTTGAGTTTCCTGTCTTGGATGAATGTTGGCATCATTTTATGACACTTTTGCAGTGATTAGCATTGTCACTTCACAGCAAGAGGATTCCTGGTTCGAACCCTGGGATGGGGGAGCCCTTCTGTGTGGAGTTTGCAGGTAGTCCAGCTTCCTCCCACAGTCCACAGACATACAGGTTAATTGGTGACTCTAAATTGTCCGTAGGTGTGAATGTGAGTGTGAATGGTTGTCTGTCTCGGTGTGTCAGCCCTGTGATAGTCTGGCGACCTGTCTAAGGTGTACCCTGCCTCTCGCCCAATGTCAGCTGGGATAGGCTCCTGCCACCCCCAACAGGATATGATTTTACCCCATTTCTATGTCTTTATATAAGTAGTATAAATAGCTAGACAGAACCAATGTCTGCCATGCTGATAGAATTGATAACGTTATCTGGCGTGGCTACAACAGGCATGAAATATGTGCCGACGCTGACAGTCTGTTGAGCAGCCTTTTGGTCGTCTTGCTTTCCCCATGTTGCGAACATCAAATGTTTTGGCGCAGAGCCTACATCCAGCATGGCTCGGTTCTGCTTCTCTCGAGTCATGTATAATATTTGTCGCTCAGAGGCCGTACATTATTAAACACACACCTCTGAGGCATCTGCAGATAAGCAAACTGCTGGTGCTTGCTAACTTTACAGCTCATTAGACATTCCTGGCACAAACTAGCTGCATATGCCAATGTGTATCACATGATACTAGTAACATTTCAGGAGGTTGGCATCAGTATGTGTGCTATTTCAGATGCCTTTAGTGTCTTAATTATTGCACTTGCATACAGTTGGATATTTGACTTAAGACTTTAAAAATGGTCAAAATTGCACAGGCCCTGATATCCATTTAGTCCCCACTATGGAGCCTTCATTTCCTATAATACAATGCAATAGCTTTGTTTCATTACACCTTCACTGCCTTGTAAACATCCATGTAACACAAATGAAACTCTAAACTTTAATTTTGTGACACAGGTTTTCTATCTCTAAACCCAAACCTAGATTACCTCTGATAATGTCATCAAGGTTATGATCTAAGACGTGATGGAGCTCCTCAACAGCAGCAGAAAACATTCCGCTCATGTTTTCCAACTCATTCGCCAGAATAAATGTTGTACATTTCTGCCAACCACAGATATGTCACATTTGTATGTATTTATGAAGCGGATACATTGAGACTTTATGTTTCAACAACGCGGTGGTTCATGTGAGGTTATATTTAGGCACAAAAAACACTTCGTTATGATTTGGAGAAGATCATGTTTTGCATTAAAATACCTGCTCTTGGAGGCTAAAAAGCAGCTGAAAGACGAAGCAATGACTTGCTAAAAAACAACTGACTTTGCTGTTTGTTGGTTTTAAGCAGTAGCCTGCAGTCTGCAGCTTGGGAGGCGTCATGATTCCCCGCCAACCATCCCCTCAACCTCACGACAATTAGCTCATGTGATACGCCTCTTCAGAAACATTGACATGGTAATGAAATGTGCAAATGTAATGTATCCATGGTTTGCATTAATGTACAATACCAACATTTTCTTCTGCCAACTTGTCTGATGTTTCCACAGGCTGAGTGCTCCTCATGACTAATAAATTGATTTGTATAAAATCAGTGTTTGCCTTCTAACTTCACAGATAATAACAGCTCAACACAATGTTAGTTTGACGAGTGCTTCCTCTTTCACTTCCTTCCTCAAGTATACAATTTACATCCACACCAGATAAACTGGGGAAAAAAAACACAGCCTGTGCCGAGGAAACAAAAGGGCAGCATTAGCTCATCTCTAACCGTGATCTGTTCTGCTCCATCCACAGTGTGGGAGAGTGGGTGCTGATTGCTGGACAAGGACAAGCACTGGTTCAGTCATTTTCAAGAGGTTTCGCGGGGCTCTTCACAGCAGCCTGCCACCTACTCCCATAAACACAGCTCACACTCAGCAGTGAACACAGAAGCTGCCTGTGTGCAGGTGCACAGAAAAAGGCACGGCTCTGTGGGCAGCATGAAATTACACTCCTCATCCTCTCCTGATGCCAGTCATAAGAGAGCCGCACGGCAGCAGCTTTACCCTCACCTGCAGCACAGAGCCGGTGGGAGGATGAGCACTGTGATAACACCCGTTTTCTGCTTGGATGAACTCGGGGCAAACAACTGAAAGTCACATGCTTAAAGTCAAAAATAGCGCTAGTGCATCCACTGTCACAGGTTTAAAGTCAACAGAGCTTACATCTTTGGCCGCCCATATCCACCATCACCCCTGCATTTTTGCATTACAGATGAAAATTAGAGATTATATTTAAAAAACTGCCACATATGATCCATACATCTGAATGTAACCCTGCTCTCTGAGGCCCCATCAAGACAATCTGGCATATCCGACTGAAAAACTGCACCACTACCTGGCAAAACGAGGTCCTGATCATTTTTAGGGTTTACCAGCTCAAGGATTTTTGTCCATAGGAAGCAACTCTCCGCTGATGACTAGCTCCTAAGCCTCTATGACACACTTTGAATGTTGTTCACTCAGTCAGCTCTCAGCACACACTGCTTTCAGAGGCCATCTGCTTTGACTCTATCTCCGTCTCATTATGGTGTCTTTCGTCTGAAATGCAGACACAAATCAAAACAGACACTGGATGTCCTGAACAGCATAGTTATGTAACAAAATAAATAAAAACAAAATGTTTAATTTGTACGAGAAGCAACTTGATGTTTAAACTTTATTACCTTATATCAGTGGTTCTTAAAGACACATTTGTTAAGACTTTGCCTCAAAACTGTTCATACGATTTTTAGAAATTTGGGCTATGATATACCTAGATCATGCGTGATACTGTACTTAGGCAATATGGCAGGAGGAACTGTGTTTAGAGAAGACAGATCCCTACTGAAAATATTAATGGAAGCCTGTAAAAAGGCCATCGTGACGAGATGGTACAAGGCAGACCCATCAACATTAGATGAGTGGCAGAAAATTGTGAATGACATATATGATATGGAAATGTTAACCCACAGGATGAGGACTCAGGAGGAGCGATGTCGAGAGAAATGGGAGACAAGGACAATGTTTGCATGTCAATGTAAGATGAGAGACTGAGTCACTGACTGAGTCACAGGTATGAAAAGCTTTTGAGAGACAATGCGGACCTTTTTATTTATCTGTACACTTATTTTTCTTCTACCTTTTTATAATATGACACACAGTCAACCTGAAAACAAGGTGCACTGTCCTGCGACAGGCTTTGAGGAACGTCTTCTCTAGGTTGGTGTGTGTGTGTGTGAGGTGATACCAAATCAGCAGCGACGTGTATATAAACCGAATTCAAGTAAATCTTTATTTTTTTATTTCACACTTGCTCTGTCAGTGTACATGCATTTCTCATGCCAGTAAAGTCTCTTTGAACTGAATTGGATTAAGACCTGCCTTACTAAAAAGCAGAACACCTGGATTCTGTTTCAATAAACATTTTGCAACCCTTTGTCAGACTGAACGCAACCCACAATTCTATAGCTGTTGACTACAGCTGAGGGGATACCTGTGGGGGAAGTGAAACCTGCGATCACAATAGCCATTGTTACTCACATTGGGAACGTTGAGTGTGTACTACACTTCAGATTTAAAAAATATTTAAAATAATCAGATTAACAAATATAAAACCAAATTCTAATTCTCTCATTTTATAAATCTAAAGGGAACACTACATTTAAAGACAATTAAAACAAGTAGATGCAATAAGCCATGGTTTCAGCCTACACTTGCTCTGGTTTGACTTCAGAAGTAATGACTTTTTTCTTATGTATATTTGAGAGGCTGCAGCTCAGAGATAAAGTGGGTCGTTCAGATCAGTAGTTTGATCTCCAGCTCACATGTCAAAGCATCCTTGAGCAAGATACTGAACCCCAAATTGGTCCAGATGGCTTGCGCGCACATGCGTCTGTGAGAGAGATATAAGAGTAGCAGGTGGCACCATGTATGGCAGTGTTAGCCACCAGTGTATGAATGGGTTAATGTGACTCAGTGTAAAAAGTGCTCCGGTGGTCAGATGACTACAAAGATTCTATACAAGTGTAGGTGCATTTAGCAGCTCCAGTTGTACAAGCTGGAAAATGACTAATTGTAAAAATAGTTTCCCCGTTTTCCTGTGGACCCCGTGAACACCTCCAGGTCCTGTTATTGAGGACCATTGCCTTTTATTTTGTTTTCAGTATAAAGAGGACATGCTCCGATGGAGTGGTAGTGGCAGGAAATTTAGTAGAGAGGCAAAGCATGATACAGACATCCATGTCTACAGCTTAGGCAGATTACAGCTGTGAGCATGATCAGTGCCATGAAGGATCCAGAAATTAACCTAACACAGGAACCATCACACTAATGAACAAACAAGATGAAGTTAATTGCAACAAACTGCAAAGGAATGGTTTTAATTTTTCAAAGTTGACAGCACCTGTATCATGTGGTCAGAGCTGTACAGACCCACTAACATTTTAGAGCAACCTCAGTCACCAGTCAATTGAGAAACTAAATCAAATTAAAAAGGTTTTAAAATGAACCAAGAGCTGCATTTAAACAATCCTCATAGAAAGTACTGATGGCATATGAACAAGTCATTCCTTCACACTGTGTCAGCTCAGTTGTTGAATAAAATATTACTGCCATCTAGTGGACAGCCACAACAATGTCAAGGCAAAGGGCAAAGTTTTATTGAATTAATATATAAACATACAAAACCACTGAAACAATACAACATTTTGTCAATATACAACAGCAGGGCAAGTGATTTCAGATGGATTTGACACCTCAAATTCCTGTAAAACACAAAAGTCAAGTTAGTGCATCACTCATCTCTGCATTATTCATGTAAGCCATTTCTTTAACAGTGGGTCCACAGATCTTACCGTGTTCACGTCCTCGATGACAACGCCTTTCTCCTGAACCTCAATGTCGCTTTCGGTGTTGTTGTGTGAGCGGTACTCTTCACTCTCGGTCTCTATGGTACTGGGCTGAGAGATGGTCAGCATTAAGAGAGCAACACCTTCTTCCATTATCGGGAATGTTAAGGGCTTTTGAATTTTAGATCAGGTTGTGTGACTGCAGGTGTTATTTTAAGCGTGAACACATTGTGCACCAGACACCACATGTGTTGTGATGTACAGAACGTACTCATGCATTATAAACCAAAAGAAATAGACACTTTTGATACCAACGACACATATTCCTTCATCTCCCTTCAGATTGACGAAATCACCTTCACATAAAATTTAATACACAGCACGGTGTGAAACAGGAGCAAACTCATCCCGAGCACTAACCTCATAGTCAGGATCCATCTCTGGGCCTTCGTCTTCAGCGAGCTCCTGAGTGAGCGCCTCCACCCAGGTCTGACTCTCCTCTTCCTCCTCATCCTCATCCAACTCATCCTGCTTCCTCTTGCTGCCCTTTCCACAAGGTTTCGTAGGAGAGACTCGGATTTCTGTTGGGAAACAAACTGTTTCAGAAAGTGGTTCCCTCAGGCCTCTAGACACATTAAAATTTTACATCCCTATTTAAAGGTCAAAAAGTAAATCATACTTCTGCAAACTACTGTTATGCACAGTACACTAACATTTGAGTATTTGGAGTTGAGTTTGACAAGTTGTTTTTGGCCCTATGTGGTAATTGGGAAACCTAGATGGCAGATTTTGATTGAATCTGCCTAGTTACTCCACAGGGCCCAGGAACAAGTGCTATTTTTTCCTCTTTTAAAAAGTCCACTGCGTAGGATTTAGGGGAATAAGAATCACCATGATTTCGTTATATAGAATAGAGTTGTTTATATCTACATAGGAAGCAGGTCCTCATCTACAGAGGATGCCATGTTGCTACGGTAAACACAGACAAATATTCAACACTGGCTCTAGATAGGGCCATTGGCATTAGCCACCATAGCAGCCAATAAGCGATTGGCAGCATGGGAAAAACTGATTTGTAATGTCAAACTGCTTTATTCAGAGTTTACCGATTTAAAAATGACAGAGTCTGTTTGTTTGAGGGAAAGAGACCTCAGATATTTCAGCTCTCTGTAAAAACCTCCTGAAAGCCTGGCTCGGAAAAAAAGTGAGCACAGGCTGAACTAGCAACCTATCTGCAAAGAGCGGACCGGCATCAGAGGAAGCGTTTCTACTTGGTTTAATCACCTGGTCCCATTTGTTTTGGAGGGGAAGAGACCTCTTCAGATAATTCAGCTCCTGGTAAAAACCTTGTGAATCCTCAGCAGGAGTTCACGCTTGGCACATGAGAAGCGTCAGGTGGTTGCAATGTGCGATTCTAACCATTAGAGGCTACTAAATTCTATGAATCCTATACAAGCAGTCTTCTACGCTTCGCTCCTTCAAATGGTCTGAAAACTGATGCAAATGATTATCAGCATTAGGGTTGCAACAGTATGATAAGTCTTAGAAGACAGTCTCATGGTATTAAAGAGTTTCTTTTTATCAGTCTGAATGACCCTTAAAAAAAGGGGACTGAAAATTGAAGGTTATTTTTGGTTTTACAAGCATTTTGTTACTATAACTGAAACCATTTTGTTAATGAAGTATCTAAGAAGTCTCCCCTAGAACTAAAATAAAAGGGAGATTAAACACCCTGTTGCATGCATTTCACTATCATAGGTTAGCAAATGTACTCAGAATGACAGCCATGAACTTATATATCATGAAACAGGTATATAGATGCAACTCTAATAGGCACAGACCAAGTGATATGTGAGATACAGAGGGAGAGCTGGTGCGAGTGGTGGTTTGTGTTAGGAAGGCCCCTGCTGAAGGGAAAACTTTTTGGTTAGCTCAATGATTATCCAACAAACTTCCATACCTGGTGAGAGGGAGCGCCCAATGCTGCTGGACACCGGGTACCCCAGGGCGCCCTGCACCCGGCGGGGCAGGATGGCCAGCAGCAGCCGGGTGACTCGGTGCAGGCGCTTCCGGCCGGCGAGGCTCTGGCGTGCAGGACTGGGCACCGCAGGGCTCACGAGGGGTTTCTCCTGTGGCTGCCGGAAACCCAGCACCCACCAAAACCCGCGGTACACGCGCACCTGTGTGTGACAGCCATGTTAGGTCGTGTGTGAAGCTAACAGGCTAAATGCTAACACAAATTAGCTGCAGCTCGTACCACGACGCCGAAGGGCCAGAGGAGGCCGCGCAGCACGGAGCGGAACACACCGTCTCTCCTCACAACGCTGCCCTGCAAAGGGAGAGACAACACAGGTCACAACTACCACAACATGTCTTTATAATATTTTACAAGTCGTCCCACACCACCTGTCTGTCCCACATTACCTCAGCGTTGTCGGCCTCCACGGCGTCTCTGTGGGTTTCCAGTGTCATCCTGCTGCGGGTCAAAGCCTGGTGGATCTGCCGACCTGCGGTGAGGAGGAGGAGAAGATGAAGGACTAAAGTGTGTGCGGGTGTTGGAGGGTGAAATGTACCCTGATGTTGCCACGGTGTAGCCAATCAGCAGGGACCCATGCACCTGGCGCAATCAGAGCGGACCAATCAGCAGCTCCCGCCAATTAACCTGCAACAGGCCGGGAAATGGAGGCCACGTGACCGATGTGGACCTGAAAATAGGTCCATTATATTATCAGAGACTTCTGACATGCAAAACACAGCTGCTGCTGGGAGTTAATAGAAATCATCTCACTATTAAACTGCATATTCAAAACTATCTGCGTTTGACTGCAGTACATTGAATCTAGTAATAAGTGTAGATTTTTTTTGGAGGGGATGAAGGGATCACATCTCCTTCAATATACTTGTATTTTTTTAATTTAAGACAAATAACATACACAACATATAGCATCACACAGCACAGTACACATATACATATCTGGGGGTCATGTATTCATGTCTAATCCTCCCTCTGGCCCCCAATTCAGATTTGCAATTAGCATGTCAACTGATTCCCCCATACATGTACCATAACACATAGACAATACATACACCCACACACATCTCCACAAATGATGTAACAGGCAAACAAACGTTGACACACAAGCAGACACATACACACAAATGTGCATTAAATAAGAGCATGTGCAGAGGAAAGGTGAGTGGGCAAAACAAGTGACAGCATAAGGTTTAGGAAAATTAAAATTATAATATTAATATTTAATAGTTATAATGATTGCAATAGTAATAAAAGGAACTATTCATATACACATGATACACAATTATTCATCAGCATAATAATGCACAGTATTTAGAACATTGCATTTGTGCATTTGTCCCTCGTAATGAAAACATAAAAGAAGCTGAGTTTTATTTTGACAGAATTTACACCATAAACCAGGGGTAGGCACCTGTGGCTTTGACCAAAAATAATATGGAAATGAATTTAAAAAATTGTAATTTTAATGTTCTTATAGCGATGTAGGTCTAAAGGGATTCTTACATACTTCAGTTGTACAAATGTGTAGCCATGTGCTTTGTTGTTGAAGGAAAACCTGTCAGTTCATGGTGTTGTACTGACGTAGTGCATTTATTTTGAAGGAGGCTGTATGCAAACTGTAAATTTCCTTTGAAAACCGAAGTGTATCTTGAAAGAAGACAATGCATGTAACAGGCTGAAGTTGACACAGCCTACCAGAGCCTCAACAACCAACACTACCAGGGTACTTTGCACGTTGCATCTTGACATGGAAGGCCCATGATCAAACGTCGATGTACAACGAGGGCCGAGTGAGAATGTGTTGAAGTGGTTGTTGACAGGCAAGGGTGGCCTGGTTGGACTTCCAGGCCCCCTGTCTCATGGGGGCTGCAGGGGTATAGGCTACTTTATGGACCAGTGTGTCCCCCCAACGATACTTTCATCCTTGGCCCTGTAAAAAGAACCAAAAAAGTAAAACTGAAGTTACATGAATAATTCAACTTGGATAGGCCATAAGTAATGATTTAAAATGAGCAAAACAGAATTTCTAAAATCTGAAAATAACAAAAACCAAATACATAACTTGATAAAAAAAAAAAAAACATTTCAAAAGATGTTAAAAATGTTTACTGTAAGATTTCTTTCTTCTCAGGGCAGCACCAGATATTTAGAAATCCATTACTACATTTATATGTAAAGTCCCTCTTCATAAGAAGAGATCCTGCTGCACATTAGAGCAGTGAATTAATCAGTACACAGAAAATGTATCAACTATTCTTTCTAGGTTTAACTCTTTATATGAAGTATGGATTTCACTTATTTCTCAAACAAAGATGCCAAACATTCCTGAGTTCCTGCTGGTCAGTGTAGATTTGCTGTTTAACTTAAAATACTGTATTAAATCAAATACATTTGGAGTCACATGAAACAAACATTTTTAAGACATCATCTTGGGCTTAAGGAGACTGTTATGAAACCATTAAACAATGACAGGTTTATTGGTCAGTTCACTATAATTAGCAACATGATGCTGTGGCAGTGAGATGCTGCATCTCTGGCTGCTCCTTAGCATATGAAAAGGTTGAAGAGGGAGGCCTGTTATTGAGCTTCCATTCTTTAAAAGCTCCTTAACTGGTAACCATTTCCGCCTCTGGCTCTCGTCACATTTACGTATCTGTTGATGCATTTGGTGGAGGACAACATGTGGGAAGTGGAGAAGCATAAAAGCTGCTCATCATCCGTCCTCTTGCCATTCGACAACCGAGTCCGTGAGCAAAGACAACGAGAAGCATTCAGTGATGGATAAGAACACAGTCACACGGACGTTCAGCATTGGAGCTATCTGCAGTGGGACCCAAGCTTCAGATGATTTCTCCACATTGCGCAGACACAGCAGTGCAGGGATCCGTGCTCTCTTGTGGGCTACCAGTGGTGCAAGGTCCTTCGGGTGTTCTCTGGGATCGGACTTCCAGACAAGCCGGGAGAACATTTATCCAAATATCCTGACACCTGACAGCATCCCACAGTTCACTATACCAAGTCTGTCAGTGCAGAACAGCTTAAGATCATTGGACAAAGAGACAGAGGAGGATGATGTGGAGACAGATGAAGGCTTAGGGAGCTCTGGGACTGAGTCATCTTTATGTGCTTCTCTGGCCTGCTCCACGCTTTCATCATCCACATCATTCACAGCCTGCGGTTTGGTTCTGTCAGACCGCAAGGCTGAGCGGAGCGTCTCAGACCCCTTCACCCAGAGGAGATCTGCTCTTCAGAGGGAGGTGTCCTACCCCTGCTCCTTCACCGAGGCCCAGGACTGCCTGGACCCCGCCAGCAGAGCTGCCTTCTCCCTGCCACACCTGACCAAAGTCACCACCCCGTACGGCTTCGTCACCTTAAGCCAGAGCCCGCAGATGGCGAGCGAGGAGGCACTTCTCTGCCAAGCCGGGCTACGGCGCTCAAACAAGGATGAGGAGACCACATGCTCTCTTAGCAAAGCTCCAGTAACGAGGACAGTAAACAACAACTCCTCTAACCTGCCGGGAGACAAGAGGAGGCTGTCTAAAGACTTAACTGACTCACAGAGCAAAGAGAGATCAGTAAAGGGAGAGATGAAAGCTTGTTCCTCCTCCGTCAACACTACAGTTTCATCTTCCTCTGCACTCAGACACCAAGACGGCAAGCACAAACGCCGCTTCTATGAGGTTATAAGGAAACACTTCACCTCCCGCCATAAGGAACGAAATCACGAGACTGATTTGTAGCTATGCTAAGTGCTTTAATACGCCTTAATTTGGTTTATATTGTGTATTTTTTCATGTATAAATGTTGTGGAATACAGTTTTTGTCTCGTGTCAGTGGACAAAAATGTCAGTATGATTAAGCTGTAAAAATTCATGAAAAATAAACCAACATCAACAGACTGCTGTGATACTGCGTGCATTATGTCTGAGTCTCTTCATCGTCCTATTTTATTTCAAAGTTCCTGTTTTCTTGAGGAGCATGGAGGGTCACCTTTAAGACTCTCATAACAGGCAGAGTGAATTTAAGGTTAATGAATTCCTCCACCGCTTTCAGGATCTTAAATGTCAGTTGCTCTCAAGCTGTCTGCCTATAGTCAGGCCCTCGTTGAATACGTCTGTATAGTTTCCACAGTGAGCCGGAGCTGTGAACTCGCATGAATGTGTGCTGATTCGTCCCCGAGGCGGAGAAACGAAGCAGTTCTTGCTCCTTAGCATATGAAGAGCTTCGCTGCAGACGCCCTTAACGACGGTCAACTAATGCATCCTCGTAGCCTGCATCCTCAAAGCTCCCACACACTGAAATTTAGTGGGTAAATATAATTATGATGCAAAGTGCTCTGCTCTGAGTGCAGGGCAATGAAAATACAAAAATGAGTCCCTGAGCACAAGAATAGATTAAGGTGATCTAAATTTATAATTACTCCCCGTGTTGTTGTTTTTGTATGTGCATGACATAAGAGATTTTACAATAATGCTTTAAGCCAAATAAGGGTTTCCGCTCTCATTCAATTCCCGAACTGCTCAGTCGCTTAAAAGCATTCTTTAAAAAGAGATGAGTAATTTAATTTTGAGAACGCAAACACACAGCAAAGTTCAGAACAGTTTCATAACTTCTCTCTAATACACCACGGTTTATTAAACTGTACTGTGTTTTACTGAGAAGTGTTTCTAGTATCTAATTTACCTTCAGTGACTCTAACTCAATGATATAAATGGGGTGAGCAAAATATAAAGTGCTGTACATGATAGGGTTTATTACAGGGCTGTTGTGTTAGGCTGCATTAGTTTTGACCAGGTGTACCTAAACAAATGGCAACTGGAAAGTTTATATATCCATTCATGGAGGCGCTGTATATAAATAATAATCTCATCTAGCAGTGGCTCCCAAGCCTGTTCTGCCATGCCACCTCTTGGAAGCCAAAATGTCACTCTTCTCTGTTATATTGATGGAGAACTCAAAGGCACCAATATGCTCCTTCATATTTTGGATTTGACTGACATGTTCACTTGATGACCATCACTTGTTTTTCTGTAAAATTTGGGTGCATTCAAGTCGCATACTTTTTCTTTTTACTTTTAGTAGGTGCTGCAGCTGACCTTATAGAGTACATACTGTTGCATGCAGTATGAACACATACCACTTCCTCATAACGTTACGCCCTGACCTTTTACTCTCTTGGTTTTATATCAGTTAGCTTGGAGATAAAAACAAATACTGTTCACCAGAGACTGAGGTCAACCCAAACAGCTCTGATGTTATCATTCTGCAGTAAGTTAGACTCTGACATATTATATTCACGTAAGTAAAATTACAGAGGCTATACATTTCTCTAGCATTGTTATTTAATACTTAAGCTCATTTGTTGTTGGTTATATTTATGATTATTTTATTCAGTTAAACACATAATATTCCTATCATTACTAATCAACTGGTCATCAGTCAACAGAATGCGCTGTCATCCATCATTGTGACTTCTGACAGTCTATGTAATGTATCTTTCACTGTGCAGGGGAGATCTTTTCTGTGGGTCAGAAAAGCCAGAAAAGCATCCGAACGGATGTAATATAACATCCCGGTACTTTTGGCGTACTGCATTTGACATACTATGTACTGAACACTATAAAATCTTTCTGGCATATAGTATGGCAGTATGGGGATTGAAATGCACACCATATGTTCATTTAGTACCTAAAGAGAATCAAAACTTACACACATATACACATATTTTTCCACTTAGCTTTAGTGCCATTTATCAATCTAGATTGTTTTGTGAGTCGCAGAGTGTTGGAGATATCGTCCGTAGAGATGTCTGCCTTCTCTTGAGCATAATGGATATAGACAGCGCTCGGCTTGTGGTGCTAAAAGTGACAAAATAATACTTACAAAAACTCAACAGCAATGTATCTTTCCAGAAATCACAAGCTGGTTACACAAGATAATCCACAGATCTTGTTGTGAGCAGTTTTATGTCGGAACTATTTTCTTTCTCTATCAATGCGCAGAAGGAAACGTGCATCTACTCATGGACGAGAGGCTTGCAAAATGTTACATGTATGGGGCACTCCTTGGCTGAGCTGCAACGATAGCTAGCTCAGTGGTGCTCAGTGAGCTAGCAGCCGATTCACACTCACCTGGCACCACTGAGCTAGCTAATCTTCTTTTCCATGAGTAGATGTACACTTCCTTCTGAAGGGTGATACGGTTAGCAGGTGCAGTTTGGTAGAAAGAGAACAGTTCCTACATGAAACTGCTCACAGCAAGGTCTGGGGATTATCTTGAGTTACAAGGTCAGGATTTCTAGAAAGAGACATTGTTGTTGAGTTTTTCAAATGTATATTTTTGGCGCTTTAAACAGCACAAGCTGAGTGCCATCTAGTTCCATTATATTAGAGAGAAGGCCAATATCAGACCCTTAGCAACTCACCAAAACAATCTAGACTAATAAGAAGCACTACAAGTAAGAGGGAGAATGTGTACCTGTGATTCTGGGGTGAACCGTCCCTTTAATATCCTCTGCTATTTTCAACTGATCAGATTCATACTGCAGCAGACATTTAGAGTCATTTTGGGAGAAGCCTTTAATATTGAAATTTCATCATCACACGCAGATTTTCTGTAACAAAGCTCCATTTCAGATCCTTATGAGGCTGTTTTAGATTTGTAATATACTGGGGTTCACTTCATTGTCAGTCACAACGTGTTGACACATTGTCATCATGTTTTTCAATGAAACAGTCTTGTCACTAAATATAGCAGAAATGACTGTGGAGAATCATTTCAGGGACAACTGCCGTTAACCCAGATGATGTGAGTCATTCTGGGATAGGGGTACTTGAGCAGCACACGCTCGGCCTCAAGGCTCTAATTAGCACCCAGATAATGAAATATTGTGTTATAGATCCATGTGTGTATCACTGACATCACACAAGTGCCACTGCACCTATTAGGATACCTAAATATGGTCACTACAGTCTGTTTACGTGGCTCTCTCCTGTGTCTCTTTATGGGTCGCATCACGGTGTGTGACCTAAATTCTTTCCTGATTATGGATATTAATGCTCATTGTGATTTATTATATTTCAAGATGCTTAATGGGCTCTATTTCCACGCATGTTCACCATTTATGGCAGCATGTTTAGCCAAGTTAGCAGCACGCTGCTCCAGGAGTGGAAATGTTGATCTGTTTGTTGCTCAGTCCACCACTTCAGTGCAGACTAGAATATCCCGACAATTAATGGATTGCGATGCCTTGTCTTTCGGAGCTAGTTTAAATGAATGATTTGTAATTGATAAGTTATTCAAAGCCTCATTGTTATACAAGTAATATTCATACTGGTTCACATGAACAATTTTAACATTTTTTTAAGTTAATAATAGCTTGGGCTATTAATTTAAGTTTTTACATTATGTCTTTTCACCTAGCACCATAAGGTGAAATTTTCAGTTTGCCTAATGAAATACCTGTAACTAATGACATTTCCATCATCCTCAGCTGTAGTTTATCTGTAGTGCTAATCAGCAAATATCAGCATGCAAGTACACTAAACTAAAATGGTGAACATTATAAAGATTACACCTAAAACATCAGCTAAACATCAGCATGTTAGCATTGGCATTATGAGCATGTTAGCATGCTGATGTTAGCATTTAGCTCAAGAACTTCTGCACCTAAGCACAACCTCCCAGAGCCACTAGCATAACTGTAGACTCTTAAGTTAAATTTTAGTTAGATTTTATTTCTGATCACTGTGTTAGAAGCTCTAGATGATTAAGTTTATGTCTTCTTAATTACAGCTGGAGCTAAAGGGGTGAACAGTCATCCAAGTCATTAAAGGGACAGTTCACCCCAAAATCAAAAATACATATTTTTCCTCTTACCTGTAGTGCTATCTATCAGTCTAGTTTGTTTTTGTGTGTGTTGCTGAGTGTTGGAGATATCAGCTGTAGAGACGTCTGCTTTCTGTTGAATGTAATGGAACTAGATGGCATTAGGCTTGGGAACTGCCCATTGGTTCGACATCCCATTGTTCCGACCATATTAAACTCATTGTTCCGAAGTCCGTTCCGAAATCATCATGATGCCCTGTGGTTAAGGTCTGGTTAGGTTCAGGCACAAAAACCACTTGGTTAGGGTCAGGAAAAGATCATGGTGTGGGTTAAAATGAAAAAGAAAGTGACAAACACATAAGCCGTAAGCCTGCTCCGCCTCAAGCCAATCGCGGCGCACCATACGCCCGCCGCAAGCCGTTCAGCACTGCGGACAGTCGGACTAATGGGATGTCGAACCAATGGGCTGTCAAACCAATGACATGGACCCTTAGGCTTGAGGTGCTAAAAGCGCCGTAAACTCAATAGCAATGTCTCTTTCCAGGAATTATGACTCAAGATAATCTTGTGAGCAGTTTCATGAAGGAAATGTTTTCTTTCCACCAAACTACATGCACCAACTGTACCACCGTGCAAAAGGAAACATCTACTGCTAGCTAATGTTACAGCTCAGCCAAGGAGGACACAATTAATGCTTAAATCTCACACTGTTACAGGCATGGAACTGCTCACAACAAGGTCTGTGGATTATCTTGATTAATCGGGTCATGATTTCTGGAAAGAGATTGCTGTTGAGGTTTTTCTGGGCACTTTGAGCACCACAAGTCAAATGCCATCTATTTTCTATGGCCGACATCTCCAACAACTCACACCAAAACAATCTAGACTGATAAATAATACTACAGGTAAGAGGTAGTTTTAATCTGGGGGTGAACTGTCCCTTGTAATCCTGATTATCCTGTCTTTTGGCAGCATTGAAACTATTCTCATTTTGACAAACATGTCTTGGTGAAGTGTCTTTTAGCAAGATTCACCTCTGACCTCCCAGCAAAAGAGCAATGTGCAGAGACAATTATGTTTTTTTAATTATTATTTTAAAAATAAGTCATTAACTTTAAATGCACTGCACAGCATCGGTCACAGGAGGTCAGCTTGGATATTTTTTATAGTGTTAAATGCTCCTCAGAATAAGTGTTTCCTCTATGCCATCATTTATAGGACATAGAATTTACATTCACTAAAAAAATTCCAAAATGACCCAGCTGTGCAAGACAGGGACATGGTGAATCATCTCAGTCTTATGCTTCACCATTTAACCTTTCCTTTTAAGTCAGAGAAAGTATACACTCCTACATGCAAGCAGCCCTGAAGAGGGCATTGCATGTGTAAAGGCTCAAACTGCATCATCCAAAAGAGAGAAGTTCATGCTGAGGCTACACATGGCAAATGTAGATCAACTGAGAAAGAAAGAGGCAAGAGTGCAAATGGAAGGGGCTTTGCCATATCTGCTCTTCCCCGTTCTGTCAGCTTGAGGTTAGCTTAGAGAGCAGAGTTTTGCCCCCAGAACACACACACCACCTTTCCGGTACCAACCTCAAGCTCAGGGCTGATTAAAAGATAACAAGAACAAAAAAAAAATCATGTAACTACACAGACGAAAGAGACAGAAAGAGGCAGAGAAAAAAGTGACGGAGGGAGTTACTGAGAGAAAAGGGAAGTGTTTCAGAGACATGCTGAGTCGGCCACCTGTAAGCTTCACACACACTGCATTCAGTGACAACAGTGAGCTGCGTGTGAGAGGTGGAGGAGCAGATTAGGTGTTGTAACTTTGCAGTTTCCTGATGGCGTCTGGTCCTGGCAGCAGAGCGGAAGAACAACCACCAGCACTGCCTCTCAAACAGCGCAGGTAAGACCAACAAACTGTAGATCTGATTACAACTTTGTGATTATTCTACACATTCTCTTATTGGGTTCTAATTAGGTCTAATCCATCATCATAATCCTTATTAAAAGATGCTAATTATTAGGGATAAAAAGCAGACTGCGCATACTTCATTTGAATATCCTTTATCTGATAATGTCAAGTATCCTGCACTGCATGCACTTAGATGATTTTGTTATTCTGTGCATCTCCATACACAGGAGCCATTCCTCTAGAAACTCCAGTGTGGAGTCTGACTGTCTTATATTCAGCTCTGTTGGACTCCTGCATCAAAACTACGCATGCAACGATGTCTTCCCCGAACCCACTGACTGTCATGCAGCCCAGTGCCCCATACACCAACGCTACGGTAAGCTCCTCAGAATGATGAAGTGAGTTTAGGTGACTGAAAGTACTCATGTCCTAATGTCATTGTAACGCACTGCATCATTTACTGTATTGTCCTTCCCCAATTGTGAAAACACAACTCACGCATGCAGTTCAGCGTAATGGGAAAAGACACATCTTACTATGAAGTGAGATTCAGTTTTCTCACTTCGACGTTTTCGTGAGAACTGAAAGAGAGGAAGTAACCATCTGAAACTTTTACATTCAAAAACATGCATGTGATTTTCAGATAGACTATGGTGACTTGCAGACTGTTGAACTGACAATGCAGACGCCCCCAGACTGTTGCATGCTCATTACTCTTGCTCACTGTTCAAGTCTGACCTAAATCCCCCTCACTGTGTTGCTCAGATCCCTCCCGACACCTGGAGAGATTTTTCTCAGATGGCACCCCGCCGCCTGTTCCAAAGAAGAAGCTAGCCCGCACTATCTCCCTCCCTGGCACCAAGGCGCCTCCACTCTGTCCTCCGTCTCCACTGCAAAGATACCCTCAAAACTTTGACAACCCCCTATACATGCTGGCCCCCATACCCAACATCTACTTCCATGAGGAGATAGAAGAGTTTCAACCAATCAGAGGGAGTCCTGTCTCCTTGCAGTCCTTCTCCCAGTTGTCCTTTGACACCCCAGATGAGCATCTGCCCCACCTCTTCAGCACCTTTGATGACCAGAGGGTTGTTTCTCAGGGGATTCAGCATCGCCACCTTCTCTTTCTGAGAAGCATGGCACAGAACATGGAGGCTGGGATCCTGCTGCGAGGAGAGGCCGCAGAAAGGGAAGTCATCTCATACCAGCCTGAGGATTTCCTGCTGTGTGAGGGCAGCGAGCCAAAGCAGATCGGCGACACGGTTTACTACAGCCTGCACAGCCCCAAGCTTCCAGGGAGGATGCTTGGTTTAAGGGTAATGTTACATATCTTGTATTCACTGTGCAGTGTTAACAGTACGTTCTGTGTGTTAATGCATGATGTTAAAATGTTCTGCTGTTCACTTGAGGTCACATTGACCTTGAAATTGTGCTGAACAAAACAGTATGCACATTGCACACAGCAACCAGTCATACAAACTTGATCTCTATCGAGACTGGCAACTGTCACACGGTCTGCGGTGCCAGAAACACTTCCTCTAAACTGTCATCAGGTGTCACAACTGCAACAGGAAGGCCAAATGAGGCATCTTTTTTTCACACAGTGCAAGTGTTTCTTAATTACAACTTCAGTTTTATGAGTGTCCGTTGTTCTTTCTGTGCAGGCACACAAGCAGACTGACGAAGCTTCCTCGGCTCACACCAAACACCAGCCATCGCATGTCAACGTGCAAGATGTTATTACTCAATTCCAAGCAAGCAGCACCCCGAGGAGTGAATCCAGCATATTACAAAACCAAGATCCCTTTTTTCCTCTCAAGTCGGACTGCACTGCTGCTAAATCACCAGGTGGAGGCAGCACTGAGTGTGCCACAGCTCATGAGAACATTAGTCTGCCCTCAGTTCAGTCTTTCCTCCAGAGAGGCCTCTCGGTGAGCGTTGAGAGAGACTTCCCACAAGCCACTCTGGAGGACTTTGTTCAGGACAGCAGCTCGCTGCAGAGCACAGATTGTTTGGATTACGACAGACAGGTATGTGCTCTGTTGCTGCAGGTATTAATGGGCTCACAACATCTGTACAACATCAGCACCACTGCTGCTGAGCTCAGACCTCGGGGGATCTTTTTAGTGTGGCCCAGCAGGGAGAATGAAGAGGGAGAAAACAAGCTAGAGCATGATGCCTCTGAAATAAAGAGCAGTTTCAAGACCAGCAGATGGAAAGATGAAATGGAACGGGTACAGGCGGCGAAACAAGGAAAGATCCAGATGTTATGGAAGACATATGGCTCCCCTCGTGTGGTGTTGACCCCGCTGTCATCTGCTCTGTCTGTTCCTAACCCCCTCACCTACATCAAATCCCAGATTGGAAACCTAATTCAATACTGCTTCCACTCACAGGAGAGCCAAACACCTCTGGGCTCAGCTCCAACCCTGTTCATGTCCTCACACCGACAGGGCCTTCTCTATCTGGCCTCTCTGCTCCATAGTGACAGCAGCGGGCCACAGATGGCCGACATGGTGGCCACGCTTCAGGTGCTCCTCTGGGGGCCACGGGTCCCACTCTTCAATCACAGAGGCTCTATGACCACCGCCGTACACAACTGGCTGACGATCAAGCGAGCCCTGCTGGTGATGAAGTTGGCCGAGAGAGGGCTGATCCAGGATCAGTCAGCTCTCGACTGGGAGGACTGTATGTGCCTGCAATACCTGTCGTTTACAGACCCCGAGACAGTTGTGAGCGTGACCAGTCAGCTATGGCTCACTCCGAATACAGACAGTCCATCTTGAATTGAAGTCATTCCCTTAAGGACTCATGCTGGGTAGTTCAAGTGCAACATATATCAATCAGCCAAAACATTAAAACCACTGGTGTGTGAAGTGAATAACATTGATCATCCCGTTGAAATGCAATGTTCTGTTAGGAAACCTTGGCTCTTGGCATTCAGGTGGATGCCACTTGATGCACTTCACCTACCCAAACATTGTTATAGACCAAGTGCCATCCCTCATGACAAGGGCACACCTCAATGGCAGTGGCCCCTCAGCAGGACAATGCACCATACCACCCCACAAAAACTGCTCAGGAATGGCCAAAGGGACATGACAAAGGGCTCAAGGCATCAACAAGGCCTCCGAATTCCCCAGACCCCAATCTGACCAAGCATTTGGTGGGACATGCTGGTACCCCATCTCACAACCAACAGGTCCTAAAGGATCGGCCACCAACGCCCTGCTGCCAGACACCAAGGGACATCCCCCTAGAAATCCTTGGTCCATGCCTTGACATGTCAGAGCTGCATTTGATTCAAGGAGGCCTAACTGTGGATTGGAGGTACCTCTGAGGTACTGGAACATCCACCGAATGCTTGGTCAGATTAGGGTCTAGGAATTTGGCACACTGTCATGTTCCTCAGGCCATTCCTAAACAGTTTTTGCGGCTACTGTCATCAAGCAGTGTTGCTGCCATGAAAGGGGGTACCTGGTCTGCATTGGTGTTTGGATGAGTGGTGTGTGTCAGGTGGCACCCACATGAATGCCAGGACCAAAGGTTTCCCACCAGAACGTTGCATTGTATCAAGACGATCAGTGTTATTCCCTTCGCCTGTCAGTAATGTGTAAGTGGTCAACTATCAGTCTGCGTTATGTACCATGCTAAAAAATACACTAAGAATGTGCATTTGATTGGACTAAAAGCCATTTCCACTCTTCCTGTTTATAACAATTCGAACATTCATATACTGCCCTTCATAACTTGAAACAGTGGTTCCCTGCTGGTGGGTTGTGGGTCCATTCTGAATGGACCGCAAGTGACTCATAAATGTGTCAAGTTTGTAAAAACATACTAGATTTTGATGTACAGTGAATTCCAGCACAGAGCTTTTATTTTGAAGTGTAGTTTCCAACTGTAGAGTGAGTAGCAAACGGACAGCTAACTGACAGAGACAGCAAACTAGCTCGACGACATGGACAAATGCAACAATGACGGTGAATTTATTCAACTGTGTGGACCTTGAAATATACACAAACATACACAAGCTGCAATGCTAGAGCCTGGTTCGCTAGCTGAGCAGCGCCACTGTGAGTTATGTAATACAATGCTGCACTTTAAACATGTTGCTCTATATTAATCATTCCCAGCTCCTATTATAAGTGATGGAATTGTACATGTACAAACTATTTTCTTCCAAAGTTAGAATAGTTTTGGTTATTTCATGAAAGACTTCTTTATATCTCTTTGCTTTCAGGGGCTCTAAGACACAATATCGTTTAAATAATTGTACCAAAGTTGTCTTGCTTGTCCTCACTGACTCCACTGTATCATTACTCTTAATAAATCATGAAGATGGCTATAGCAGTGAGCCACCAAAGGTCTCAATGTGTCAGAGGAAGTGCTTTTCAGAACCAAATAGCAGCATCTTAAAACTTCTTTCCAACATCAAAATTTAGCTATCAATTAAAGTAACACAATTATACTTTACACAGCAGATTAAAGGTATACTTGTCATACAGATTCGTAGAGAAGTAATCTTTCTCCATCATCATTTATGTCCTACTAGCAGTGTGTGGCGGTGCATTTATCTGCAGACTCTGCCCTCTGCCTGTATTTTCTTATTTTCTATGTACAAGATGTTCATGGGTGAGGCTCAGGTGAGGCTGGGGCTTTATAAAAAGGCAGCAAACAGGTGTCAGATCATAAGCAGCATTCATCCCAGAGAAAACAGTGCTGAAAAACATAAATATAGCACCATGAAACGGCAAACGTGAATCTGGGGTTGGCTTTTACCTTCACTTACGCTGATGGGCGGAATTACAAAGAGTAACTGACAATCCTGCATAGTATACATTTAACAGGTGCGCAGAGGTGTGAAAGTAGGGCTATGCTGAATTGACCCGATTTAAATAAAGTGATTTATCAGATTAAATGAATTTTCCTTGAACAAATATCTCTGTTGCCTGAATATAAATACATGTAGGCAGCATACTAATCCAATAAGGGCATGAAATCATTAAGAAATAATTACCACGCCCATAGGCTCACAGCAACGTTGTGCTATAGCAGAAATGGCAGTAAAATAAAGCAGTTTTAAGTGTTCAGTCTGCTGCAGACGTTTGGTGTGATGGGGGCTGTCTCAGTTCAACTCAATTTAACCCCAAAAGAAATTATTTCTTCGCCAGAGAATGCTTCAAACTATAGTTAACACTTTGTAGAGTAACCACAGATTTAACAATTCACAACCAATGACAACAGGTGGGTTTCCTGGGTCAGGGTCACTCACTGGGCCCAGTTTTAGAACAACAGAGTATTAGGTAAGTGGGGAATTATACATATATGCAAGACATAAGTGTTTTCAAGAAGTAAAAGCAAAAAACTGCTCCTAATGTGTAACAATAGGAGTATGACAAGTACTTAAAAATAAACTAAAATGGTGGGAAAAAACAGACTGCACCTGATTATCAGTTATATCAGTTAGAGAGGTGGTAGGAATGTCACAAACGAGAGCAAAGTTTTTCGATTTCAGTTAAAGTGTTATTTTTGAAAGGCTGAACGCCAACAAAAATGGATTTAAGCAGAATGTCATTACATAAAAAACATGTTGAGAATTGTGAAAAAATAACATCTGACCTTAATCAATATACTTTGATTTTTGGACTTCACAACCCCCTGGAAATATTGGATATGTGCAGGTCATAGGTCATTAAAGAAAATCTTATGTAGCCACCACTGGAATCTAATTCTACAAATTGTATAATGCTAATATCAGTGCAGCCTAATTTTAATCTGCAACTGCGCAGAAATACTGGGATTAAACACATTGAATTGACATCAAAAGCATTTGAATATTTATTTAGAGTTAGCAGGTCAACATTATGTATGAAGGTTTGAACTCTTTGGTTGAGTCCTACAAAGTGAGGCCAGGTTGGACTTCCCCGTCCTTCCCAGGTCTTCACGCCACTTTTTTTTGTACAAATAATTTCACCACAGCAGTCATATACACCAGGTGTGAACACATTACCCTGTACACATGGTCAGACACACGTCATATGAGACCTCAGCTTTCACAGGCTGCATGTCTGTATGATCAAAGAGCACAGACTCCACTCTCGTAGGTGAGCACTTTTATTTAGTAGTTACAACATGCAGATTTCTATCAAGTGAATCAAAGCAACAAATGAAAATCATGCACACAATAAAAAAAAATCAATATAAACAGGAGAATCAACTGATACTATGAAAACATACCTACTTACATGAGTAAGATGAATTTAAATTGATCATAAATATTACACTGTGGGGACGATCGTCAGGGTGTTCGGGGAGGGAGAATAGGGAAGTCAGCACTACACGTCATGGAAGGTAATTCAGTGGCGAGGACACGTTGCCTGGATATTATGTGGGCGCTTGCTTTACATTCCTGGTATATTAACATCTTACCCTAGTGCAAATATCAATGAAACACAGCACATGGTAGGTAAAGCTAAAACAAACAGAAAGGAAACCTCAACCATACTGAACTTGGATAATATATTCATTTCCTGAAAAGAATCATAAAAGACGTGTGGGTGTGGATTGAAATAAGAACAACAAACATTTGTAACTGCTCAGCGTCATTTAATCGTCATCGGAGGAGTCTCGCTCGATGCTGTAAGCCATGAAGAAAGCGTCAGGGCGGGAGGGGACGAGGGGATGACCCGGTCTCACAATCTCAAAGCCCAGGAAACTGAATGTACGCAGCAGGGATGCTGAGGAGAGACATTATGCAAACACACATAAATAGAAAAGACCTGGGGCTGTTTTCACAGAGCTTCCTGGTTCCTCCTGAGCACAAAACTCTTAGAAAACATCTTAGAATTTCCCCGAAAGTTAAGACTGCGTCCTGATAAAGATAAAAGTTGTTTGCAAAACATCTTAGTCCTAATTAAGAGAGCTCCTGAGGAGAGGGGTGGGGGGGGGGTGGGGGGCTGTTAGGAGAGCTTTTAAGAGGCTTAAGAGTTTTTTAAGCAGAGGAGAAATTAAAAAAAGGACAAAGAGGTCTCCAAAAGCTGCAGTGTGTCTACAGATATCAGGCAGTTTAATTTAATGCTTTTTAAGACACCTTTTAAAGAAATTTAGGACAAACTCGACATGCACACACACCTCTGTACGAAGTAGCAACCACTGCTTTACAAAAATACATAATTCAAAAATTTGCTCTTTTCGTCCTTGTTATCATCAGCACACAAATCTGCTGGCTTCCACTGCGCATCAACTTGAATGAAACAGTAAATGCTGATTTCAGTAGCTTCTGTATTTGCTTCCATACAACAGCGTGCTGTTTGTGACCTCTTTGTTATTGTTCCTCTGCACATGTGGGTCAGTTCACAATTGTGACCAGCTGACACTCAAATCTGATATCAGCTGTATTTAAAAATTAATGTAAACGGCCAAAACTAATTGCGTCTAAAATCTATTCTGTTGGTGTTCTAGCTATATTTGGTCTTTAAGCTTGATTCTTGCTTTTGACCTGTCTGTTTTTTGTTAGTTCCTTCCTTCCTCAGTTTGTACCAGCACGCCACCTGTACTTGAGTGACCACATCTGTGGTAAAGTAGTGCCTATTTTATCTGTCTCACACTCGCTGCCGCTTTATGTTTCGGTTCAGATTTATCTACTACAATACCCCAAAAAAAGCATAACAAGTAAGAAGAAAGAACATTTCTAACCTTGTAATAGAAAACTGGTGACACAAAATTACACACACGTCATACAATTCACCCCCCACCCCTTTTCTAATAAGTATATTTTCTAATATTACTGTACATTTCACAAATGCTTAACCACAGCCTCAACCATTCGAATGGTTCACATTTAAACTGCAGGTGCTATACCAGAGTGTTTATTTTAAGAGTGTAAGAGTTTAAGAAACCAAGACAAAAATAAAACAGCCTCACCTCTATCATCTCGGTTCTTGTGAAAACAGATGAACGCGTGATCAACCTGCAGCTGCTCTTCTGCGAATTCCAGCAGAAGGGCAAAA